TGGTTGTATGTCCATGTGCAGGCTACATCCCAAATTGGCAGAAACCTGCCTGAAGATCAAATTTTTAGGAACCAGGTGTATGAACAGGGTGAAGATCTTCAGAAAGGAAGATATTTTAGTTCCTGAGAGAGTAATTTGGGGCTTATAATCAATAAGAAACCTTTTTATTTCCAAGAACTTACTCGGACCTTTTATTGACCTAAAAGCCCTGGCAAGATCTTGTGGCCTTAATGAGACCTTGGACCAGTAACAACACGTATTCTTCTAGCATAGGCAATGAGGCGGGTGATCACTTCTCCACTTCCACCTCAAGGCCGCACCCCCCTCCTCACACCACCTCCGTATCTGAAACAGGTAGAAAAATCTAGCTTCATCCCACCTGCTTCCGTACATAGAGTGGTTGAAAAACCTTTCTCCATCCCCACCTATGGGTGTAACATCTGTCCACCATCCTCCCATTGTACCTACTCAATCTATTAACTAAAGTAATATATGCACAAGTGAGAGAGTTTTGGGAGTTCATTGAGATAGATAATACTTCACTTGCTATTGGTAGGGAGAGACCTAAGACAAATTCTGTACTCTGTAAATAATCTGGTAATGGAAGGTGCCTGACTTGCGGTCATGCCAGATGCAACAATCTGAACTTGGACTATTAGTGTCAAAAGAACAAATTGATCATGTAATGCCATGTCTGCATAGCAATATAGCAAGAAATTGTGAAGAAAAAAGTATAAATCTTGCAGGGTTAAAGTGCATTACATCCAGCAGGTAAGATCAACCAATATATGCCACCACGTGTTTGGGTAACTCCACCTTCATTTGCATGAACCTGGATCCCTTCCACCTGCATATTAATGAGAAATCAGAGCTTCTAAGCATATTCAATCAAAACTAATTGAATAACAGGAGTACAAATTAGTTCAGTCATCTACAGAAAAAGAGTTTATACCACCAGCCAAGGTTCCTAAAGTCTGAAAATCAAAATAACTTTAGTTGGAGGTTAACATAAATGACATCAGAAACCATGGGAGTTTTGTTTCAACATGCAATATGCACTTCTGAGAGAATGTATAAAGGATCTGATTTTACAATGTCCTACATACCTCAAAAAGTTGTCGGAGATTTCAATTTGATGGTGCTAGTGGTAATTTGGACTTGCTTTTCCCTAGACAAACACTACTACTAGAGCATCATGTTACGTCCTAGAGCAGCTAATGACTCAATCTAATACTCAAGTAAGATACCGTAAAACTAGTAATAGGATTGTACACGAGTTATCCTGGGATGCAAATTTAGGCAACTGCAATAACAATCCCAAGAACTAGCATCCAAGTCTTGACATTGATGCATGAATGGGTCAGTGTTAAACATATTAGGTTGCTGACACCCAAGGGAAAAACTGCTGCATCCCTAGTTCTTGACATTGATGCATGAATGGGTCAAAATGTTAACGTATTAGGTTGCTGACACCCAATGGAAAAACTGCTGCATCCTTATTATGTTACCCCAAGGTTACAGACTCTCAGCAATATTCCAATATCTAAAACAACTAAAAACCATTTAAAGCAATTGATCTAGAAAAGACAGTTAAAGTAAATAAGTGCAGGAAAAAGTGGATCAGAATAGTCACTCCTACGATAATGATAAATCAAATTTGGGAGAACGGGAATATTGACGCATAAAACAGCTTATAATAATTTCAAAGTAAACATATTTTCAAAATGTCAACCAGTAGAGGTGCCTTTGCTAATAGGGAACAGATTCAAGTTCATCGAGTACCTCGAAGCTTACTGTAAAATTAATTGTCAACCATTAATTTAAAAGCATTCATGTTTCATATGCGTGATATAAAATGAAGTAAGTAGCTCCTTACATCACCACATGTGAGTTTACAGGCGATTGCATGGCTTGCTTCGTGTAAAAATACTGTGATGAGCTTAAAGGGTGTCAAGAGTACTGTTTTCCACAACTATATGAATCATAAAGAAGATGTTGAGTCAAGAAGCAAATTAAACAAGTAAAAAACACTACAGTCAAAACCCAAGCACAACATGATACAGTATTTTAAATACTTCCAGCAAGATAAATATAGCAAATTTGTGCAATTATACTAATCATTAATTAGACCGACCTAATGCAAATATAATCAAAAGAACAATTGTTCTCCAAACTTCGACAATTATTCTCTATGCGAATCTTTGGATGTAAATCAACAATATACAGGTGCATCTTCCTTAAACAAAGCAATTAATTCCTTCCTTTACCTCAACATTAACCTTTAAAAAGTTGTCCTAGTGGCAGTCTATTTATACCACTTCTAATTATATCCTTAAACCGTTAGAAAAAAAAAAAAAAAAAAAAAAAAGAGATCTACGATACCAAACGCGTAATATTTGATCCAGTAGAAAGAATTTAAGTCCTTATCTTATCAATTTGTTTTTTTCTTTTCTAGTTGCAACAATAAGAATCTTTCATCCGAACTCCAACTTCTACAAAGTTGGAACACGATAATCAACCAAAATTATTTCAGTTAGGGCTAAAACAATTAGCGAGCCTCCGACTTCAGTTGACTCGAACATCACATTCTTCAAAACATACCATAGACAACAAACAGGACGTAAACCTCTAAAGAACTCCGACACTTTTTCTTCAATTTGGAAACCAAGCCGGGAACAGAGAACGGAACGTACCGCGAGTATCACAACAGTGTAGACACCAACCACAGCCAGAAACACAACCTGATCATGCTGGCAGCAGTTCCTGAGCTCCCAATTCGGATTCATCCCTCCCAGTCTCCTCTTCGATGTTTTCCCGAGCTTCACCACAGACCAACAGAAAGTCAGGAAGGGAGAGTTTGAATTTTCGATTGGTTGTTGGGGGGAGGAGACGAAGTGATTGGTGTATTACAAAATTTTCAAATCCTCAATTGCGCGTTGTAGAAATTTAATATTTAAAATAATTTTAAGAATTTTATATAATTTATTTTTATATTCTAATTATAGAAAATAATAAAATTAATTTTTTATATAATTTAATTAAAATAAAAATAATATTTATTTTTAAAGTTATTAATTTTTTTAAAACCTCCAATTCTTAACGTATCTCTCAATAAATATTAATATTTTTATTTATTTAAATTTAAGTTGAAGATGGCACGGAATCATTTGAAAAGTCGTGCACTTTTTCTAGACAACTTCAAATATTTTTAAAACCATATTTTAAAAAAATATAATATAAGCATAGGACAAATAGAATATTGTATTTTAATTTACCGGGTCAAGTTGAAAAAGTCAAATTAAAATAAATTTATACCTAATTTATTATTTATAAAATTAAATATACGAACGGTATTAATTTATTATACATCAAGTTAATAAAAGTGATTATTTATACACGACAGTCCACGTGAAAGCGGACACGGAGAGGCGCTGCTG